CAGTACTTTTTGATGCAAAAAACAAAACCAGAGTATCTGCTGATGCCTCCCATTTTGGAATTGGTGCAGTACTGAAACAACTACAGAGAGATACTTGGAGTCCAGTTCTTTATGCTTCAAGAACATTGAGCGGAACAGAACGAAGATATGCTCAGATAGAAAAGGAAAGTTCAGGAATTTTGTATGCTTGCGAAAAATTTCAAAATTTCCTGATTGGCAATAAATTCCTTATTCGAACTGATTGTAAACCACTTCGTTCGCTGTTGAAAAGCAAACCAATAGCTGAATTGTCTCCCAGGTTACAACGATTTCGAATGAGATTAATGAGATTCAATTATGATATTGAATGTGTTTCCGGTAAAGAATTTCATATCCCAGATACACTATCCAGGTCACCTTTCCAGAAAAATACAGATGAAGGCGAAGATATTCTGAATGATGATCTTTTCATTGACCTGATCTTAGCAGAACTAACTCTATCTGATGTCAAGTTGGAAGGAATAAAACGAGCACAGAAAGAAGATGTATTATGTGAAAAAGTAGAATCGTTTGTCAAAGAAGGTTGGCCAAAATCTAAGTACCCTGTAGAGTTTCACAAAGTCCGAGGTGAATGAGCAGTACATCGAGGCATTTTGCTGAAAGGAAAGAGAATATTCATCCTGCAGATTATACAAGCAGACATTCTGAAGAAAATACACGAAGGGCATTTTGGAGTTACTTAATGTAGAGCCAGAGCTGAACAGTCATTTTGGTGGCCAGGAATTTCTTCGAAGATAAAATCATTGGTAGAAAATTGTCATATTTGCATTGAACATCGAAATAATCCTGTGGAACCTTTGATTGCAACTCCATATCCAAATAGACCGTGAGCACAAATTGGAATTGATTTGTTCGAGGTAGAAGGAAAAAAATACCTCTGTATAATCGACTATTTTTCAAAATATCTAGAAGTAATTTCGATACCACAGACCACATCAGCTTATATAATTGAAGTATTGAAGAATATATTTTCTCGACATGGAGTTCCAGAGGTCGTCAGATCAGATAATGGCCTGCAATTTCGCGAGGAATTCAAAAACTTTGGAAATTAATATAATTTCGAAGTAATTACTTCAAGCCCTAAAAATCCTCAATCTAACGGGCAGGTGGACGAGGTGTAGCAATTGCTAAGAATATTGTTTTGAAAAATAAGGATATCAATTAAGCATTGCTGATATATCGAAGCACCCCATTAAAATGTGGTTTGTCTCCTGCTGAACTGCTCTTTGGCAGAAAATTGAGGAATAACCTACCTCAGTCCGAAGAGTCCTTGAAACCACATTGGAATGATTTCGACAAAGTTGTAAGCAAGTTAGAAGACCTGAAAGACAGACAAAATTCCAATGATCGTCATCGACCACGAGAGCTTTCCCCACTATCTCCAGGCCAACGAGTATGGATAGCTGATATGAAAAAGTATGGGGTGGTTGAAAGAAGAACAGGTGAACCCAGATCGTATGTAATTCGATTTGATGGTGTAGAACTCAGAAGAAATCGAAGATTTTTGATTCCTGTTACTGCAGAATCATACGAGAGAAGAATTGCGGAGCATTCACCTTGTGATTTCCATTCGCAGTCCGGTTCTTCTTCGTTACAAGATCGATTCCAGACTGAGGGGTATAGAACGAGGAGTGGTCGCTTGGTAAAGCCAATAAAACGAATTTCCTGAGAGATTCAGAAAGGGGAGTGTGATGATAGTACACTTTGTATAATCATGTTATATAGACAGTCATGAATTGTGATGTCATGGTGTTGACAGTTGTTTAGTAAATAAATAATCTGTAAAGATACTTCGTTATATTATATTAATTTATATAGAATATCTACACACTACAGATAAGGCACTCGATAAGGTCTCTTTGCTATAGGAGGGACATTTTCTGTGATGATACGGTGTTTTACTATAGACGTACAAGTCAACTTTTGATTAGGGTTCCTAAATACATCAATATATTCCTTTACCAACTTTGCTAATTTTTCTTCTTTCTCACCTGTAGGTTCATTCAATTTCAATTGTTCTAGTATAAGTTCAGTGTCATTGCCGATATTCACATTGTATATTCCTTGTACCCCAATTGATTTGGATTGATTTTTATTTTCCGTTTCTGCTTCGTAGGCATGTGCAATAACCGTCCTTCTTTGTATAAGGAGATCTTTTTCCAATAAATTCATGAGCCGTATGGGTATCAAATCATTATTTTTGCACACAGATCTCGCTATCATTAATCCGTGTCTGCTGTCATTACTTTCTACTACTATGTCTTCAGTTGACAATTTTTTTTGTTCTTAACTTTCGCGGTACAAACTGTTATCGTCCTCGGAGGTAATATAATATCCTCCGATAGATATATATCATGTCCTTTCACATAAGAGCGTACTGTACTCACAGGTTTTTCCTCGGAAAAGTTTCCTGAAAGTTTTTCTACTCTCTCTGCATTTTTCAAAGCTTTTTTTCTTTCGAAAAATTCATCATCCTTTCGATTATTTGCCTTGGCTAATAATTCATCATAGATGATTTTACCCCTGGTTTCTTCCTAAGAAACCTCTTGTTTCTTTTCACTCTGTGGAAACTCTGTTTCTCTCACGTTCTGTATAACTTTACACGGCGAACCTTTATTTCCCTTTTTCTCTGTCCTATCCACACTTTTCTCTCGGAAATTTTCGATCGATTCATTTTCTCTTGGGTCCACACAGTTTTTCTCTATTCTCGAGAATTTCTTTTCACCTGAGTACTCCCCTGACTCATTTATCCGTTTCCTTTGCGACCTCTTTACCTGGGAACTATCATCTTTCACCTGATCCTCGGAATAAGCTCTATTCCTACTATGTGAAACAGTAATTTTCGGTAGAAAGGTTTTGATAGTATTTTGCATTTTGAACGATTAGCAGTCGTTCGAACAGAGGAATCCTTCATAGCTGCTAACAACAGAGGACTCAAAATATCATCTGAATTACTCGTATTCACATTGCTCAGGTTCAACAACATATCTTTAATCTCTTTTATCTGATCCTCCAAGTTCCTCAATTTTCTATCTATGCTATTTTCACAACTCTGTATACCTTTATCTATAGTGCAATCTCCCATAAGTGCTAACTCCATTTCTAATGAATACATTTTACTATTTTCCGAATCTATCTTCACTCCATACTTTTGCAGAAAATCTAATCCAATCAAATATCCAGTCTGAAAATTTCCATTTTCTATAACCGTGAACTCATGTTCTATCGTTATCTCGTTACTCAACTCAATGGGTACGATAACCTTCTCTTCGTTAGGAATAGTATTTCCTTAAATATACACTAAATTATTTCTCATCATATCTTCTTCACTATCTCTAATACATTTAAACCCCCGGGCGAATTCCTTCTCAATCAAAGATACTGCGGCACCTGAATCAATCAAAACATACTGGAAGGATCCTTGGATCTCGATCTCAGTGAGGTTTTTGAGTTTCGAACTCTCGCAGGTGTAGTTCAGTATCTTTTTGTCAACCACGTTTACATTCGGTTTTCGAAATTCTGGTAAGCAGTGGCTCGTCGGGGTTAGTGAGCTACTGCCAATTCGTTTAAAGTCTCGTTCGAACTTTCTGATCTATCCTGATATCTTCTTTTCATTCTTACATTACAATTTCTCGCAAAATGACCAATTTTTCGGCAATTATAACAAACAGTTTCTTTACTAGCCTTGTTTGCTCGCGGTAAGTATTTGCAGTCCTTTATCAGATGTCCTAGCTTCTTACAACCGTGACAAATTCTTTCTACAGAGTTCTGCCTGAATTCTTCCGCAAAATGACCTATTTTCTGACATTTATAACATTTCCTCTGATTCTCATCTATTGTTGAATAACAGAGGACATTTGAAGTTCCTCGTTCTCTCGCTCGTACCTGATTTTTCGTTATATTTTCCATGTTCTCTTCCCGTTCAGCAAGTTTCAAAGCATCCGCAACAGAGGTAGGTTGGGCTCTTGAAACTCTTTTCCTCACCGGATTCAATAGCCCCATTAGAAAATTAGTTTTAGTGTCGCGATTTAATTTTTGTTCTAAAATAGTATCAACATACCTATCTCCCGTTCTGTTCAAAGTTTTAGCCGCTAATAATTTCAAACGAGCAAGGAACTGCCTACAATTGTCCCCTTTTGTTTGCTTACAGTCCATAAAATTTCTTTCAGCCTGTCCTGGAATTTGACTCACAGCAAATTGTTTCTTCAAACTAGTTTTCAATAGATTCCATTCATTTGTTACTTTCAAATAAGGTTCTGAGTCAACAAATTGTTTAGCTAATCTCTTTAATTTTATCCTGGTTATTGAAACTTTCTGAGATTCTGTCCAATTTGCAATTACCGCTGTTTCCTCAATATTTTCAATGAAATCATCTACGTTTGTTTGCCCACTATAAAATGGTATCGAATCCAAATTTATTGACACTGGTAGAATTATTTCTCGTACCGGAGCTACAGGTACCAGAAGCATATTCACGTTTCCTATACAGCCATCGCGATTGGTCGCTCTCACGAGATAGGGAATGGAGTGCATCCTGGAGCACTCCGTTTCCTAGCTGATATGCGCGACCAACGATAAACGACCATCGGCTGCTCTGTGGTGCATGGGTCAGGCTTATTTACAGATTTTGTGTTTTACACTAATTTTCAGTCTGAAGAAGACATAATTTGACAATGAAACGGAAGTTTATTCATGTGGAATATCAAACTATACAAAAAATATGAACAAAATATATCGTCGAACCATTAGAAATGCTTTTCAGTTTCAGATTACTTTGTTTTTCTTACTGGTTATAAGAATCATGAAAGTAATCGAGAATAATTATTAGTGCGCACTACCATGACTCACAGCGTTCGTGGTATTTTGTAGGATGTTTACTATTAATGAACGCTTTTTGCGAGGTCTCTTTTTCGAACTCATTCCACTGCTAGATGGCTGACCCGCTTGTATAGCTTTGGCACCTCTGTGAGCAGATGTTCTTCTAGCAATAGAGGTAGGTTGAACATTAATTCTGTGAGACTTTTTCTGACTAGTAAACGAGGAACATAGAGCATAGAACGAAGCTTCGCTGTCCATTTTCTCCATCTGCCTATTGAACTCCGTCACCACAATAGGCAATAGTGCTGGATGAGATTTCACGAAGCTGCTGATCTTTTTTAAGTTGTCTTTGAATTCTTTGAGTTCTACTGATCCATCAGTTTTAGTTTCGTTCACTTCAACCGGAAAACTATTTTCTCCATCAGGAGTCGTCTCATTAAGGCCATCTTCCGTTTCCAACATCATGGGTTCGCCAAAATCTACAGTAATTTCGTTATCTTTTTCTTCATCCATCTTTGAAGAAGTTGGCACTATACTGATAGTATTTCCAAGTGCTAACGTAGCAAGTTCTATTTTGTCTTGTAAAAAAATATAACGAACGTTGTGCATCTGCACACCAATATTATATACAGCGCACAGATGCTTGCAAAATTTCCCTACTGCCCCTTCTGGACAGTCACACACTTCCAACTTTGTATTGACTAGGTACAAAAATGTCTCATCTGCAGCTGAAGTAACTGTAAACTGATCTTCAGACACTTTCACAACACGAAGATCAACCGATTTTTTGCAAAATTTCGTAAAATAAATTAACAATTTGTTATCCCTGGAGCTAGCATAACGCAACAATTTTTTTTTGTAGAAGTCCTCCAGTGATGAAGAGATGAATTCTACTAAGGAAACTGTGTTGAAAGCCTCACATCTTTGTAGTACCAAATCCTTTGAAACTCTTATTGATACTTCTACTAAATTGTTCGTATTGTGACCCCTATTGCACATTTTATTTCGAAAACAATGACACCAATCTTGTCTTCTCTGCCACATTTTGTCGAAATATTCAATAAAATTCATAAATTTACAGGCAATTTCACTCTCGCATAGAGCTTGCTTGAGAAATTCGTTATCAATTTCTTCCTTGGCGGGAACGCCGATGGTCGTTGGTCGCGCATATCAGCTAGGAAACGGAGTGCTCCAGGATGCACTCCATTCCCTATCTCGTGAGAGCGACCAATCGCGCTGGCTCTATAGGAAACGTAAATATGCGTACCGGAACAGGTAAATTTGGATCAGGCATGATAATCAATAACGAATATACTTCCTACTCAATTCAATACTACACCGAACCGTCACACTGTTCAATAATCCTTTCAAAACTATAGGTCATAAGCTACCTTTTGAACTTCAAGTCAAAAATAAACCTTGCAATTTTCTTATTCTTTTTGAAATCCTCTCTCCAGACTTGCCTCAATATAGGGGTTACCTATATTATACCATCATAGCTCGAAATAACCAAAAAAAATTGAAATTTTGTTTTTCAACATTCTTCAACAAGATCAACCCTGAAAAACCACCCTAAATTGATTGAATCAACCCCACACCTGACACCAATGTGTTGATCCACCCCTGTATAAAGGAAGATGTTATCAGATTATATACCGAGCGGCTGGTATGTTTATACAGGGTGTAAAATCTACAGCATATATTAAATTGTGTGGGTTCGGACTATGATGGTGGCAGAATGCAGGAGAAAAACAATTACAAAGATAAGAAACTATAATCAAAGAAATAGACTACATTCATGATCAGAATCCTAACAAATTCACATATTCAAAAGACTCAAACTCCTGATGTCTATTCACTCATATCTCAAAGTTGAGAAAATATCTAAAAACTCAAATAATCACTCTATAAATTCATAAAATCAAGAATATTCAATATACAATCAATAATCATGAACCAGTATCAATTTGCCATAGGTTTTACTACATTGAAAACTCTCAACTCAACTTTAATATTCTCCAAAACAACAAATAAACTTCCCTTAATGAACCTCTTGAAAGAATACACTCAGTTAAACTATCTATATCAAAACTCAACCCTACTTCTACTCTTAGCCCATATACTAATAGCTAAAACTTCTCTAATCATCCCTTATTTCGATACCTCTCATCAAGTTAGTTTGCAAAACCCTTATACGTCTAATTCCTTAAACAAAATCCTAACCCTTGACACTAATAGGTTGACTGACTAGTTTCTTCAAAATATCCATTATATTATCGTTGGAAAGTCATGTTGGGTATCAAAAGCACTTTCAGTCCTATAGTCTGTTACATGTAACCACAAAGACATACCAACTTGCTTGGGAGTTGAAAGAATTGCCATTATCTCTTTCTCACTTGCACTGATTCTAATAGCCACTCATTCATGTCAGATCATGAAGGCTTGATCCTAAAGATAAATAACAATTTCAATTTCAATTTCAATTTATTCAGAAAATAAAGTGTACAGATAATATTGATAACATATTACAAATCTTGGTGTTTCTTTTGGATCATAAGACTGCACCTAAGCATGCTGCATGCTTGTGTTGTACTAGTCTTTAATCCGCAAGAAGCATTCTAATTGTACAACTTTCATATTTGGCGATTGTAGTATAATTAGCGAATATATTAGGTTATTTGCTTAGAATTTCGATGAATGACATATTCGTGAGATTTGGTGAGTACTAAAAGAGAATCAATTAATGTAATGTTTTGTAGATTAGAGTTGAATTTATTTGGACGAAGTTTTTAATTTGTTTTTTGTATTTATTGAAATTTGTTATTGTTTTCATTTCGGGTGGTAAGAGATTATATAGTTTAGGTCCGAAATAGTAGATATACCTTTGAGTGTGGCTTTTTCTGAATAATGGTGTATTGAGGGTGAGATTTTGCATTGCTCTGGTATTTTTTTTTATGACCTCCAATGGCTGATTAAAACGATTTGCATTTTGAAACATCCATTCTAGGCATTGATAGGCATATAGGCTTCTAACATCAAGTATATCTAGTTGTTTATATAACTGTACAGTTGAATGAAGTCTGTTTTTTTTTAATATTATTTTCAAAAGTTTGTTTTGCATAGACTGGAGTTGTATTAAATTGTTTCGGAAAACACCTCCCCATGCTTTGATACAATACCGCAGTATAGATTCAGCCAAAGAATAATAGATTATCCTAAGAGTTTTGTTATTTAAAATAGCTCTCAGTGTGTACATTTTTCGAGTCAGCTGCCTGAGTCTGCTAGTCAATAGAATAGTATGCTTCTCCCATCTCAAGTGTTGGTCTATCATGACACCTAAGTACTTTATATTGTCACATTTTTCTATTTCAGGACAGTTGCATGTTTCTTGATTTTGGCAATTATTTTCGTGAACTAAAATAGTATTTTTTCCTACTGGCTGATCATTTGCTGTTAGTGAAAATGCTATATATTTGGTTTTCTTAACATTCAAGCTCGATAAGTTTTGGTCTAGCCATTTTTTAACTTGTTCTACTCCGTAATTTGTGTCTCTGAAAACCCCATCCCATGTTTTCGCAGAAAAAACTAAAGTAGTGTCATCAGCATAGGAGATGCAGTGGCCTTTACAGTTCTTTAAATATCCAATACTGTTTATGTATAGTAGGAATAGGATTGGACCCAATACTGTTCCCTGTGGCACACCCATTTTTATTTCTGAAGGATTACTACAGTAATCTCCTAACTTTACTCTCTGAGATCTCTTATATAAGTAGTTTCGCAGGATATCCTGGGCTGGTCCTCTTATACCATAATTATAAAGCTTCTCCATTAATATATCATGAGATATAGTATCAAATGCCTTGGCAAGGTCAAGAAAGATGGCGAGACATTTTTCCGATCTATCCAAGGCGTTAACTGTTTTTTCCACAAAATCAAGAACGGCTTTTTCTGTGTTTTTGTTACTCAGAAATCCATATTGCCTCTCAGTTATTACCTTATTAATGTCCAAGAAGAATATCAAACGCTTTTTAATGGTATGTTCAAATACTTTAGCGAAGTTATTGATTACAGAGATTGGTCGATAATTTCCAACAAGGTTCCGTTCTCCAGATTTATAGACAGGTGTGACTAGACTTTTTTTCCATTGATGAGGTATTTCACCGCTTTCATAACAAAGGTTTATTATTTGGACTAGTGGATCTACTAGATAGTTGTGAAATTGTTTTATTAATTTACTTGAGATGTCATCTGGACCTGGTGAGCAGTTGTTTTTGAGTGATAATATTATATTGATGATTTCGTTTCTTGTTGTGGGTTCAAGAACCATAGTAGTTTTCACTGATGGGTCATTAGTGAGCTTTTGTTTGTGCTGATCTTTATTTATGTTATTTTGTAACTTTTGTCCTATTCCAATAAAATATTCGTTGAATATGTTGGATTTCTGTTCATTGTTTGTAACCACAACGTTGTCAGTATTTGTTATTGGTAGGTTTGTTAAAGAATCTTTAATAGGATTTCGGTTTATTGCTTCATTAATTATTCTCTATGTTTTCTTGCTATCACCTTTCACAGAATCAAACTTATTTTTGAAGAATTCATTTTTTGTTTTTTTCAATAAGTTATTCAGTTTATTTCTATAGTTTTTGTACTCTCTATCAAGTTCTAATGAATGCCTATGCAATAGTCTCTTTTTGAGCATGTCCCTATGTCTGATGGATGTTAACAAAGCTTTTGTAATCCAAGGTTTGATTTTATAATCCTTTTGTTTGATTTCTGTGGTGTATGACGCCATTTCTATATAAGTTTGAAAAATATTAATGAATGTATTGTAACTAAATTGCACATTTCTGCATCGATGAACTTCCCCCCAATCCTCATTTTTCAAGAAAGCCTCCAACTTTGAATAATTGATATTTCTGATTGAACAGTGCCAAAGCTCCTGTTAGCACTTTTGTCTGTCGTCCTATGACTAGCAGAGCAGTGGACAATTTTTTAACTGAAGTAAGTAACACAAACTGGAATTTTTCTCATTACACTGCACAAGATCAGGCCCATTGTATCACAAATATTCTGTCAGACATTAGCGCACGCTGTTTTCCTGAGAAGAAGGTAAGAGTGAGGGATAACAGTCACATCAAAAATATTGAGAATACTCATAACTTTAAATATCTGAAATCTAAGCTGGATGCAGCTCAGACAATATTTGATGTCACAAAATCTAAGGAAAGTCTTCAATTATTGGGTTTCTTGAAGAAAGAATATCGGGAAATGATCAACATTGAGAAGATTAAACTTAACAGGAAAAAAATTTCAGAATCAGATAACATTCAAAAAACCGCTTGGAATATCATAAATGTCAGCCTAGGTAGAAATGATACTTCTTTTGACAGCAGTATATCTACTAAGGAATTTGCACAATTCTTCCAGGATGTTATAAAAAACCTAATTGAGAACTGTAAAATTGATGACAGATCCGATAATCTCAACTTTAGTGATTTTCTTAATAAAATCCCTGCAAATCATAAGACATTTTATCTGCATCCAACAGATGCACATGAGGTTCGCTCTATTGTTCGAAATCTTAAGAACTCCAAGTCAAGGGATTGTTATGGTTTGAATGCCAGTCTATTAAAAATAGCTGTTGACATACTAGATCAGCCAATTGCAACTCTTATAAACACATGCATGAACAATGGTTATTTCCCAGATATATTTAAAATATCTAGAGTATCACCAATTTATAAAAAAGGAGATATAAATTTACCAGCTAATTATAGACCTATCTCTATTATACCTATAATAGGCAAGATTTTTGAAATTATCCTAAAGATACGACTCATAACTTTCTTTGAAAAAAACAATCTGATCTGTGATAATCAGTTCGGTTACAGAACTGGGAAGTCCACTATTGCCGCAGTTTGTGCGCTCTGTGACATCATATTAGATGGTTTTGATGATCAACTGAATAGCTTTGCTTGATTTTATGACTTGACGAGAGC